GGCTCAAGTGGTAGAGCGCTAGCCTTGAGCTGAATAGCTGAAGGACAGCGCCCAGGCCCAGAGTTCAGGCCCCACTACCGGACCCCAAAAAAAAAAAGATACATTCCTATGCTATGTGCTAGTGGTTCATGCCTAAAATCCTCGCTACTCAGGAGGCTGAAATCGGAAGATCATAGTTCAAAGCCAGCCTAGACAAGAAAGTTTATGAGACTCTTATCTCCAATTAAGCACCAAGCTGGAAGTGGAAAAACAAGATGAAACTCCCTTGTGAAATGCATCCTTCCTATACCAGAACTGCCTTCCTTCCTCCTCTCCTCCGTTCTGTGCCAGCTCAACTGAGGGCCTGGGCACTGTCCCTTAGCTTTTTCTACTCCAGGCTGGAGTTCTACCACTTGAGCCACAGCTCCATTTTGGGCTTTTTGGTAGTTAATTGGAGTCAAGAGTCTCACAGACTTTCCTGCCTGGGCTTAGAGCTGGGAGGGATCCTTAGATCTCAGCCTTCTGAGTAGCTAGGATTATAGAGCCCAGCCCCTTGTTCTTTATCACCCAGAACTGGAGGTGAAGCACAGAGAGATCTGTTCAAACAAACCTAGCCAGACTGGCCCTTATTCTCCTAGTTACTTCCCGCCCATCGCTTATCACCTCTGCCTTCTTACCATGCACTATTCTTTGGCAGACACAGGACATAAATCATCAGTTCTGTATCTTTGGGCTTTCCTATTCCTTACTGAGGACTCCCACATATGTGTAAAAGAAACACCCGATGCGAGAATGCTTTTCTTTTTTCTTCTTCTGTTAACCTGTCTATGTCAGTTGAATTCTTAGGCCCAGTTGGAGACCCTGAGGGTACAGTAAAAAGGTTTTCCTCCACTCCAGGGGTTTCTAGGATTTTTATGATTACAAGGAATCATGCCTCCTTGCCTACGTGCTGAAGCTTGCCCAGGATGTGAACTGAGGAAGAAAGTCTGCCGTCAGGAGCCAGGCATAGCTCCACATTTATTAGGCATCATCAAAGTGTTTTTCAGAGCAGTACTAATTTATACGCCCTAAGACTGGCTTTCAGGGGCCAAGGTGTGCAATTTAATTCTATCATCTTAGCACGTACGTTGCTTCACTCAATAGAATGTTGAGGAGTAGGCAGTGCAGTATTAAACATTCTCAGCCATCTTTCTTTCGTGTTGGTCCTAGGGCTTGAACTCTAGATCTGGACGCTGTCCCCGAGCTTTATGTGCACAAGGCTAGTGTTCTACCACTTGAGCCACAGCTCCACTTCTGGCTATTTTTATTTTTCCCTGTCAGTTTTGGGGCTTGAACTCAGGGCGTGGGAGCTGTCCTTTAGCTTTTGCTCTCAAGGCTAGTGACACAGCGCCACTTCCAGTTTTCTGGTGATTAATTGGAGATACCAGTCTCATGGACTTTCCTGCCCAGGCTGGCTTCAAACCGTGATCCTCAGATCTCAGCCTCCTGAGTAAGCTAGGATTACAGACATGAGCCACGGGTACCTGGTCCTCAGCAATCTTTTGAAGACAGGGAATGAGATTCAGAGAGGCTGAGTGATTTCCCAGGTTCCAGAGTGGAAGGTCTGAGGAGGAGGCTAACTCCTGCAGATGGAATGCTCTTCTGATGTCACTTTCTCCCCCCCCCCATCCCTCCCCTCATTTTCTGAAGCCAAGCAGCATCCCAAGTGGATGCGGCACAGAAGCATCCTGGTGGAGCAGAGCCTGGGTTTCTGTGATGGCCTATCAGCAGTGTCCCTACCCTGCAGCAGGACTGGAGCTCCGGCCTGGGTGCCATTGGCCGTGGTGTACCAGCTTTCGTCTCTTTCAGTTGCATGCATGTCTGCATCCTGAGGTTCCTCAGCTTGGCACTGGAGTCTTCCCTTCCCAGCAGAAGTCCTGAAATACTGTGGTGGTGGGAGCCACAAGGTACCATCTTGTCCCTTCAGGTGACCCCCTGCTGTGTGCCAGGCATATGCTGGCCAGCTGGCTCCCCGAAGACCTCCAGCCTACCTCCTCCTCTGGAAAGGGGGAAGACTCGATTGGACAGCAGAGGAGGGAGCACCAACCACTTGTGGATGATGCTAGATGCTTCTAGTCCTTTTTTGGGAGTCCCTCCATCCTCACAGCACTTCGGTTTGCTCACTTCCGGTGTTTAGACCCACAGCTCACGACACACTCAAGCACTCTGTGCTCTGGGGAAACAGAAAGACTGCACTGTTCAGGACCTGTCCTGGGTTCTTCCCACTATGCCCCATTATGCCTGCCAGACGGCACCAACCAAGCCGTGCATGCTACAAGACACATCACCCACCACATCTCAGCACAAGAACCATACCGTGTTGCTCCCAGGTGGCAGCCTAGCAGCTGGGAGCTTGTGCCCTGCCCTTCCAGGCCCATCGATCTACTCACGTTTAGGGGGGTTTCCTGGTCCTGTAGTGCCTGCCACTCAGCTCATTACTATACACACAGACTCATGAAGACAGGCCCCCCCTGATCTGGGTCTGCCAGGGGCCTTGCTCTAGTTCCTCCATCTGAGCCCCGACATTGTACAGCTCGCTCATTCCAGGTCTAGTTCTTAATGTGTCCCTTTTGGTCCCCAGAGGCTTTCTCCAGTGTTCCTAATTAGCACACTGCATTCCTCAGGAAATAGGTGAGCAGGGCACAGATTGAGGCTTGTTTTAGCCTTTGACCTTATGCTATTTTAGGGCTGCTTTTTCCATAATGAGAAGCTAGCAGATGCTCGGTGAATGTGACATCCTCATTTGAGACACAGAAGCAGCAAAGACCGGTGGGCAGCAGACAACTCCCTGGGAGTCACTGGACCCTGCGGGACAATGGAGTATCCTGGCTTGGTTCTCACAGGCCACAGAAGCCACAGTGAGACCAGCACTGGACCTGGTAGAGGCTGACCAACTACCCCAGAGCCCTGACTCATTCTTTCCATTTCCTGCAAATATTTCCTTGACAATTCCCAACTCCTGGGTAAAGGGACACCACTTCCTTTGGGAGCTTTCACTACATGTGGATGTAAAGAGCTAAATCAAGTATTTCTTTTCTTACAAATTATGGGTTATCTTGGGGTTCATTTCACTTACCGTTATCTTCTTTATTTTTTTTGTAGGTTCATGAGGCTTGAACTCTGGGCCTGGGCGCTGTCCCTCAGCTCTTCAGCTCAAGGCTAGCACTCTACCACTTGAGCCACAGCGCCACTTCTGGCTTTTTTCTTTTTGCTTATGTGGTGCTGAGGAATCGAACTCAGGGCCTCAGGCATGCAAGGCAAGCGCTCTACCACTGAGCCACCTTCCCAGCCCCAGCCATGGTTTTTTATTTAGGAAAAATTCAAATCTATATAAAAGTAGAGAATGGAATAACGGACAGAATCCCTTCCTCTCCTAGCTTCAACAACTATCATAACCTGGCTCATCTTGTTTTATACTCTAACCTACTCTCGTCCCAGGGCCAATTTTAAAGAATAGAGAGAAGTTATTGGTTCATGACAAAGGCTGAGTGTGCTGGGTGTACTGTCAGCCTGCCTTCCAGGGCAGGGAAATGCCACCCCCCCCCACCTTCCAGTCTCCCGTGCAGGGAGGTGCAGGGTGAAGCGATGGCCCAGATATGACCCAGGGCTGCTCTGAGGCTCTCTGTGAGGGAAATGCATGCATTCTTAGGTGTGCATGTATGTTTGTAAGTGTACACACATCTGTGTCACCCTGGGCATGTGATTCACTAATGAGCCTAAGTGCATTCAGTACAGGAGGCTCTTCGAGACGCTCCAGGGCCGGATGACACAAGGTAAATGACAGTTTTGGGGGACACTGAGAGGGCATCTGTGTTAGGAACAGGGCCATCAGGAGGCTAGCTTCTGTCAACAGGAAGGAGACCGGAGGGGCTTTTCAGAAGACTCATGGACAGAGAGTCTCTGTATGGAGATGGGTGGAAAAGATGCGTCCCCAGCAGAGCTGTGGCTGCCGTGGATGCAGGGCAGGAGGATGGTGAGCAGGGCCCAGGCACACAGCTGGGGTTTTCACCAATGTTCCAGACTTCGTTCCCCAGGCCTGGGAATAGCCCACACATGGGGAATACACCTGCTCATGCAGCTTTCATCCTGACTTCTTAGACTCCAAAGATGTGAGCATTTGCTATAAAGAAGAAACCCTAATTTATCATGAGTTTAGTTCCATTTATTATTATTAAAAAAATTTTTTTTTGGGTGGGTTGTGGAGCTTGAATTTTGGGCTGGGCGCTATCCCTGAGCTCTTCAGCTCAAGGCACTCTACCACTTTGAGCCATGGCGCCACTTCTGGTTTTCTGTTGGTTATTGGAGAGCAGAGTCTCATGGACTTTCCTGCCTGGGCTGGCTTTGAACCATGATCTTCAGATCTTAGCCTCTTGAATAGCTAGGATGACAGGCGTGAGCCACCAACGCCCAGCTAATACCATTTATATGAGAGGATTCTGGATCATTTTCCAACAGGGAGAGAGGCCTGCTCATGCGTGTGGGTACATTAGCCCTGAATTGAAGAACTGGGTGAATCAGAAGGACGAAGGCACGCAGAGAGCAGTTAGGGAAGCATACCTCCCACAGGTAGTGTCCTACAGGCAGTAGGCAGCGCAAGAGCATCAGACAGCACTACAGGGAAGTCTTGCCTGGAGCCTCGGTGGCCCCGCCTTAGAATTTGGAGGTCACATCCCTGCCCACTCTGGCTGGGCTTAGGTTAAAGGACTTCCCTCTGTTCTTGCTGTGTTCCAATACAGGACCACAACTATCACAACTGAAACCTCACAGGCCACCTGTTTGGTCACAGCCTCAAATGCTCTATTATTTCTAGAATCCTTTATTGAGGTGGATGAGAACAGACAATGACGTCAAATGTAATAGGACAACCACCCCATGTGGTCGGTCAGGTGTGGTTGCGAGGTAGGGCTCGAGATGTCCCAGCTAGACTGGGGTCAGACTCTGCGGCCCAGCAAAGGGAAGGCAAGGAACCTCTTCATCACCAGCCTAGTAGAAGTCTGACTTTTATTTAACAACAAACGTTTAGAAATAAGATGAATGAAATCACTTGAGAGTAGGATACATAAACAGAACTTCAATGTAGAAAAAAAGGCCCTGCTGGGAAAGGGGATGAGGAACACTGGAATTGTCTCAGAGACACACAGAAAGCTCACATTGTCAACAGGATTAAGCTGCTACGGATTCTCCCCAGAGCATCAGGGTTTCATTTTGCTCAGCCTGAGATCTCGCTCGATTTCAAACTGTCTGTGGTCCACTCGGTCTAGAAAAGCTTTCCGTTCAATGTACCTGGAGGAAGATAACAAAGCACTTGTTGAGTACAGTCCACAAGAAACCTGCACTGTCTCACCCTGGGGACAAACTGGGGCCTTCCCCGTTCGGTCCCACCCCAGGGACAAAGCAGACTTCAGCAAACGCAAGCAGAGGGCCTGGCAGGTTAGAAGGACGGAGGCTCTGTCACCAACATCCAACCACCCCTAAGGATGAGTTTGGCTTAGATGTGAATGCAAATCAAATGTAAAGGACAGGGCAACAGCTTATCAAAGGCAAAGTAAACTGGAGGTTCAGTGTCCAAAAATCATTCACCTCTGTGACAAGACTAAGTGAAAATGGAAAAACAGTCAGCTTGGTTACATATGAGCTGGGCAATGCTGGGTGAGAGACTGAGCCTCTCTGAGCTTCATTTTTCGCCACAGGAACATGGTGATGCATATCCTAGCCTTGCAAGTGAATTTTCGTGGCGGGCAAGGGAAAGCTACATATTCTGTCCATTCCTCATGACACATGGAGTCAATGGGGCAGAGAAATGACTTCAGAGCACTACTATGTGCTAAGAGCTGTGCCCTTTGATTGTGCGTAACTCTGACCACCCCTTGCTTATCATCCTTGTTGTTCTCAACTTGGTTGGGCCAGGCTGCTTTGGCCAGGATGACAGGAGAGGCCGTTCCCTAGTCATTTAAGGAAGGAGATAGTGATCAAGAGCTTCTTCCTCTACTGTCACAAACAGGGAGGATCCCCTTAGAAGGCTGGTTCTCTGCTTTGGCTCTGGGGCCAAGGTTGGTGATCCCAGGCAGGGTGAGAAGGAAGGAGGGAAGGGGGGAGGGAAGCAGGAGGCATGCTGATGAGCAGTGAGGCTGGCTGCTTAATGAGACACAGCTGCATTTTAATGTACCTTCTAGCCATAAAATATGCTGCAATTTGCTTGGGGGGAGGAGATTTCTGCTAATTAATCTACCCAGAGAGCAAAAGGACCATTGAAAATGGGAGACATAATTGAATCTCTGCACTAATTTTTCTTTTGTTGCATGGCAGAAAATGTGAATCTGTCACTGGCAGGTTATTATGTTTATGGTGAGAATGCTACCAGGCTCAGGAACCTGTGTTTCTTGCTGAGTTCAGACCTTGATTTCCCTCCCAAAAGCATCTTGTGCAGTAAGGCCCATCTTACTGCTCATCAACTGTGCCTGCAGCTAGTAACCCACACACATTACCTCTGGGATTGGCTAGAAGGCAGGCACTGAGTTACAAATCTTGACTACCACTGGCTGGCTGTGTGACTCTGGGCAAGCCACTAATAGTTTCTCAATACACAACAACAACAACAACATCCAAGAAGAATCTTCCCTAGGGAGGGCTGCTGCGAGGATTAAATGAAATTGTGTACATAGTGTTGAGCACAACACTATCCACTACGGTATTCTTTGCCAGTCCTGGGGCTTGAATTCAGGCAGTGGGCATTGTTACTGAGCTTCTCTTGCTCAAAGATAGCACTCTATCACTTGAGCCACAGCACCATTTTCTGTTTATGTGATACTGAGGAATCGAACCCAGGGCTTTATGCATGCTAGGCAAGTACTCTACCACTAAGCCACATTCCCAGCCCTCCACACTATGGTATTTTTTGAGCTCTTTTGATCAGAGCTAGTGCTCTACCACTTTGAGCCAGAGTGCAACTTCCAAGTTTTGGGTAGTTAACTAGTTTCTGCCTGGGCTGGCTTTGAATTGTGATCCTCAGCTCTCAACCTCCTGAGTAGTTAGGATGACAGTTGTGAGCCACCCAGTGCCTGGCTAACACTATAGTATTCATGAGGTTCCTATCGTCTTAGAAAACCAGGCTCTGGAGCAGAGTGCTCTGGAAGACAACACACAGGTTGAACTGGGACGTGTGTTATCAGCAAGCAGTAACTATTACCTGGATGAAGAATTAAGCTGCCAGGTCAAAATGGTCAACAAGGCTGGAAGGGGTGGATCTTAGGTTTGACATAAATCCCCACGTTCAGAGTTAACAGATTTACGAAGTAAAAATACAGGGATAAATTCGAATTCAGACTCTCTGGAAGACAGGGATGGGGCAGATACTGCAGACTTCTTCTGATAAAGGGAAAAATGGGGAGTTGAGTACTGGTGGCTCACGCCTGTAATCCTAGCTATGCAGGAGGCTGAGATGAAGATCAACTTTCCTGGGCAGGAAAGTTCATGAGATTCTTATCTCCAATTAACCAGAGAAAAGCCAGATTTGGAGCTGTGGCTCAAGTGGTAGGGTGCTAGCCTCAAGCAAACAACCACAGGGACAGCATCCAGACCCTGAGTTCAATCTCCAACACACACACACACACACACACACACACACACACACACACACACACACACAATGGATGCACAAATTCATAACCAAGGTAATATTGCTTATACACCCTATCTATTGCAAGTGGCACCACACAGACC